GCTGGACCCGGTTTCCAGCAGGTGCTGCTCCCCACCAATAGATGGAGCTTGTAAGAAAAAAAAAAAAAAAAAAAAAAAAAAATCATAGCCGCCTGTGCCTTTTGCATCTGTTCGACAGCCTGCTGCATCTTCTGTTCATAACAGTAAGTCAATTCTAAAGTACCAGGTGCAGCAGTTGACTGATTCTCAGGAAGGAGAAAATCTAAGGGTAGTCTAGGCTTGAAAGTCAATAGCAAACTGTTCGGGCTCACCCCGGTGGCGCTGTGTACCGCATTGTTGTACAGACTGGCGATGAGAGCAAGCTTCTCATCCCAGTCCACCTGGTTGGGCTTGATGTAATGCCTCAACAGATGTTGTACGGCGTGGTTCAGTTGCCTGGCCTGGCCGTTGGCGTCTGCGTGATTCCCATAAGTCATTTGCAACTGGGTTCCCTGCTCTGCAGCAGCGCCCTTCCACAATTCGCTGGTAAATCAGACATCCCTGTCACTAATAATAGACTTCGGTAAACCAAAGTCCCTAACCCAGTTCTCTTTGAACATTCTGATCACATACTTCGTCCTTGCTGTTTCCGACATTGCTACTAACCTAGCATACTTACTAAATCTACCCACGATAACGAAGATGTGTCTCATCCCACTCTTGCTGGTGACCAGTGTATCCATGAAGTCCATGGACAAACTCTCACCAGACCTTTTCGGAATCGGGAGGGGCTTCAGGAGCCCAAGAGGAGCCTGCGTACGTGGCTTGTCCCTCTGACATGCTTGACAAGTCTCCATGTACAGCTGGCCATCTCGCATCATCGTGGGCCACCAGAACTGCTGCAGCAGATTGGCTGCGGTCTTCTTGTACCCAAAATGGCCGGTGGCATCATGGCACTCTACTAAAAACAAACTACGCAAAGACTCGCTATTCGGGACACACAAGCGTTTATTCCCAGCCTTCTCGAGGAACAGCAAGCCATTGACCAACTCAAACTCAGCAGAAGTCACTTTGTCCTTCGCTTCGAGTCAGCGGATGATATTGGACATGAACGGATCCTCACGATAGGCTTCCACCATGGACTGAGTAACATTGTCCGCAAGCCCAAACTCAGTAATCAGCGCACCAAAGAAATCTGGTCTACGCGACCAAGCATCAGCAACCTTGTTGTACTCGCCCTTGATATACTGGGGCTCGAAGTCATACTGCTCAATGACTTCGATCCAACGCTTGGGAGCGTCAGAGAGTTCCGACTGAGTTCTCATCCATCTCAGGGTCTGATGATCAGTCCTGAGGATGAAGAACCTCCCAAGGAGATAGTTTCTCCAATGGGTTAGAGCCTTGTAAACCGCATAGAGTTCCTTCTCATAGGTGGACTTAGCCAACTTATGAGAGGGCATCTTTTTGGAGATGTACTCTACTAGCCTCAACTTTTTCCCCTCTACGGCGCCTATGCCATATTGGCCAGCATCCGTAGTTACTATGAATGGTTTATAAGGATCAAGAAATTTCAAGACTTCGTAATGCGTCAACGCATGCTTCAGATGTCTGAAAGCAGCCTCGCATTTCCCAGTCCACTCCCATGGGGTGT